AAAAACAAAAAAAAAAAAAAAAAAAAAAAAAAAAAAAAAAAAAAAAAAAAAACAAGCAAACAGATTGACATTAGATGCCTGTAACACTAAAAGCAGGGAAAAAAGGATGATGGACAAAGCCTGTATGCTCAATTTTCACTTTAGGATTTTATACCCAAGCACATTTTCAGTCTGGTAGAAAAGGGGGCATTTTCATCATACAAATATTTTTCCAGGCACAAGTCATAAAAGAAGGTCTGGCATCTGGCAAAAATGAGATCCAGCCCAGGAAGAGAGACAAAGAGAACGCCAGAGATGACAGCTCTTTGTCAGGGTTGGAGAGCAACCCCATCCAGGCTGGAGGAGGACGAGGCTCCTGGAAAACAGCCTGGCCCTGGGCAGATGCTCCCGAGAGACTGAAACAGGAAATGGGTGTGGGTGGGGTGAGCTGGAGGGTGGGTCCTTCACCCCCATAAAAGAGGAAAAACCTCAAACAAAACCAAACCCTCTGAAGGCTTAGACAGTAATGCAAGCTAGAAAAATAAGGTAACAATTCTAAAAGGGAAAAATAAACATAACCAAGATACATTATTTGGTTCAAAGACTACTTACATATGCTCTTAATATTACTTATATTGAAAACTCGTCATCTAAAGATTACGACAGAAATAGATTAAGAAACAGAGGTTGAAGTAGAGAATATTAAGAAATGACTGTAATACACAGCTAATAAAAGAAAATATTTAAAGTAAGTAAATCAAGATAAATCTTTAAAAACATGTAAAGGTTTTTTAAAGAATGGTTGTTTGGAGAGAAGTTGCAAGAGACGGAAAGATGACTTTTCCTTTTTCTTTTTGGTTCATTTTGGTTTTTCGAGACAGAATTTCTTTGTGTAGCTCTGGCTGTCCTGGAACTCACTCTGTAGACTAGGCTGGGCTTGAACTCACAGAGATCCGCCTGCCTCTGCCACCACCACCCGGCCAGTGCTGCATACTTTTTTTTTTTAAATATTTATTATGTACACAATATTCTGTCTGTGTGTATGCCTGCAGGCCAGAAGAGGGCACCAGACCCCATTACAGATGGTTGTGAGCCACCATGTGGTTGCTGGGAATTGAACTCAGGACCTTTGGAAGAGCAAGCAGTGCTCTTAACCTCTGAGCCATCTCTCCAGCCCGCTGCACACTTTTAATACCAGAATTTTTGAGAGGCAGAAGCAGGCAAATCTCTTTGAATTTGAAACCAGCCTGGTCTACACATAGAGAGTTCACGGACAGTCAAGACTGCATGATGAGACCCTATAACAAAATGAACTATCCCAGAAACTGAAGGCCAATGTGAGGGGGCTGTTTCCAAAACCTTACTAGAATACTATGCAGTAACAATAAAGAATGATGAGTTGGGATCTAGCTTAGTGTAGCACTAAGGTATGCATGAGGCCTTGGGTTCAAGCTCAGCATTGCAAGAATAAGTTTCCATGATGAAAAGGCACAGTATTCTTGCATGGTACAGCATGTTTCTCCGTATAGTGCTCTTCTCCCAGGATGCGCAATTATGACTACTTGTGGTCTGTAGGGAAATGAAATGACTTTTAAACCATAGTCAAAAGAAAGACTACCCCAGAGTAAACCAGACATCAGCCACTTCCAACATAAGGCTGTGAGCTCGCCATCATCGCTCACCAGTGTGACTGTTGAACGAGGGGGGGATTCTGGCTTATGGATGCAGAGGGCTCAATCTGTGGTCAGCCTGTTCCAAGTGAGGGCCTGAGGTGAGGCTGATCGCTCAGCGAAACAACCCACCCTACCAAGGACAAAGCAGAGAGCTAGGAAGGGGCGGGGCACAGCACGCACTGCAGGCTCTCAAGGGACCTGGGCACAGCATGCATCCCTAGGGTCTTCCTGGGGAAAGAGAGTACTTTCTACCACTTCCCAACCGTGAAAGACTCCAACATGGATTAAACCCGGGCTCAAGGCAGAGACCCTACCTTCCAGCTGCTGCTAACAGCACCACTAGCTTGAGGGGTACACCTAAACCCTAGCCGAGTTGCTCCTCCACCTGACTTGATTACCTATTGTCTCTGAATCTTAATCCGCTCAGAAACCCTGAACAGGCGTATTTATCCCCATTCTACAGATGACCGTTTACAGATGTCACATATTCTTAGGTTGATTTGCACTCTCTCTCTCTGGCCTCTGTTGTCAGAAACCCGGCGGCAGGTAAACCAGTAGGAAAACGTGGGAGGCTTCAGAATGCTTATTACGAAAGGCCTTACAGGTTCCAGCAAAACACCACCAACGAGAGACTTGGGTTTAAAGTTTTAATAATAAATTGTGCCAGTAGAAGCTTTCAAAGGCAATGATATATCAATAAATAATAGTTAAATCGAGTTCCTGAGAAAGAACCTACCACACGAAACTATATGAGAGCGTTGTAAATGACACGGCGTTACTCTAAACTAGCGAGAAGACTGTGAGTCACAATACAAGCACAGCAGACTTCAGAATTCGCCATTCATACAAATGTAAACCACGACACAGGAATGTTTCTTAGACATAGGTAAATTTGTCAGTGTTTCTGCCTAGATACATACTAAGTAATGGGTACACTATGCTAAGACCCTCGAGGAAAACATGTGGAATAGGATAATGGAAACGTGATGCATTCTTCTTTTAAAAAGCAAAAGAAATTGAATGTATTCAAATAGAAATCACTTTAAATAGGAACCATACTAATTTGAAATAGGAATATTTTGTGTTTATCTATAGTTATATATACACCTATATGTCTAAGAAAGAATGTATGGCTTGTTTTTATACTTCAATGTCACTCTGAAGAATCCTTTTCTTTTTACAAAGTTAAAAAATGCGTTGGTTAAGCCATATTAAGATTTGACACCTCAACATATGAAAGAAACACAGTCTCATGGTAACACCTTGGCTGACTGAGGTAACAGGAAACAACACTTACCTCGCCTGTAGGTGTGGGAACCCGTTAGTGAAAAAATGAAGTAGTAGGCTCCTGCCACACCTTCCACATACCAAGACTGACAGCGTACTGGACTACAGAAACGGACAGAGTGATGTGATTATGTCCAATGTTTTGGCAGAGCTGAATTAATCCCTTTTGATGTGTTTTATATATGACAAACGTTTACATTTGCCTCCAAAGAACCCAGTCATATGCAAGACACACACGTTAAAGAAAAGAAAAATCACACTTCAGTTACACATATGCATTTCTTTAACAATAAGGGCTACAATCATCACCCACACAATACATTATCAGCACACTTTCTAGAATACCTCATTTAAAAACATATTCACAGGACCTGCTGTGAACGGCAAGATACGGTAATTTTATATCAGGAACCCTGCCCGTGCAGCGCTTCCCACAATCAGACACTGGAGTCACCACCTTCTCTCTGCTCACTCTTCCTAGTATAATATGCAAAGGAAAAAGCACAAAAGCAGCTTTTAAACGTTACATCACAATTCTGAAATGTGGGGATATAAACAGAGCACTGTGTAGATGAACGGTCTCCGGGACCCGGAGCGGAGCGCGGTCTTGTTCTCACTTATTGCACAGACTTCTCATCACATGTTCTTTCTAAATGTGGACAAGTGCTATCAGATAAAAACACAAATGGAAGGAACAGCAGCATGATTTGTCAAAGTTAATCCTTATAATTTAGTAAGAAAAATGGGTGTCCATAAAATAAGTGCTCTTTCCATATTGTACTGGAGTTTTAAAAATATTGTTTTGACGCAGTGAAGGTCCTCAGAGGACCAATTCGAAGTCATGGTGACCCTCCCTGTTGCCCATTAACCAGAACTAGAAACGAAGGATCCCTAACTTGAGTTTGTCTTTAAAAAATCTTGTTTCGTGTTTTCTTGACAAAGATCAGAGTTTCACAAAATGTGAGGCCACTGGCACTTTTACACGTACACTGGCTGGCAGCTCTCGGTAGCACCCTCCAGCTCTGCATCCCCCTCATCTGTGCTCTCGGCTGGCTCTGACGGCTTCGGGCACCGGAAAGGGTAGCCGTTATCGTCGAAGAACCTGCGGAAGGTGAACTCGTAGAAGGCGTGCTCCGGGTGCTTGCTGTTGGGGGATGCCAGTGTGTCCCAGGCCTTGGTGCTCTCCCCGCTGGCCTCGTGCCAAGGGCTTTCTTCATCTACCGGGTCAAAATTGGAGGTGTCCATGGGGTGGCTGATGGTGGGGACGTATGGTGCGGGCTGCTTCCGTATGTCGCGGGAGAAGTCGATGGCGCTGAAGAACGGGTGTGCCTTGAGGTCGTCGGCCCCATCCCTGCCCAGGCGGTTGTCAGCTGAGCAGCACAGCCTGGTGATGAGGTCGCGGGCCTCGGCGCTCAGCTTCACCTGCGTTGGGATGTGTAGCGTGTTCTCCCAGTTGATCACCTGTGGGGAGCAGAGCTGGGGTTAGAGCTTCCGCAACCCAGGACTGCAAGGCTGCGGCCTCGGACAGCTAAGGGCTGAGCCTGTCACAAAAATCTTCAGCTACAGCAACAGGTTTCTGTTGGGCCACCACAGCGCTCACTTGGTGTTTACTGAGGCTGGTGGCTGGTCTCTGGGATTTTTCTTTTCTTTTGAGGTAACTGACACCAGCCGGCCTTGGCCTCATCTGGGTGGTCATTAAGTATGTCGGCATGAAGCCCTGCGTCCTTCCACACACTGTGAAGAAAAACCTAATGCTGTCTGCATTGCTCAGGCTCAGGCCCGGAGTGGGCCTGGGCAGTGGAGCTGTGGCTGCTGGGGAGGCCTGATCTGCAGCAAGGGTTTTAGGGGGACCAGAACTATGAGATGTGACCCGGGTCTTCTTGAATATGATACCAAGACACCAGCAGGAAAGAAACAGTATGTTGGATTTCATAAAAATCACAAACTTTTGTGTCGTATGATGGCACGCATCTAGCAATCTCAGCACTTCAGAAACAGGGCAGGCCAGCTGCAGGCTCAAGGCCAGGCTGGTCTATGCAGTGAGTTCTGGGTCAGCCAGGGGTATGAGATTGGGGTCACTAGCTGAACTTAGAATGAAGAGGCCAACCGTAAAGTAGACTGTGTCTGCACAGCACACGTGTGTAAAGGACTTAATATCTAGAATACAGAGAGAAAGAACTACACCAACATAATCTGAACTTTAAAATCAGGTTAAAGACTATGGGCCATTTCCATAAAAATACATGGGTGGTAAATGAATACAGGAACATATATGCTTGATACCACAAATGACCACGGAAATCTGAATGAAAACCTCACCCCCAACACACTACCTCACCCCCCCCCCATGAAGATGGCTGTTATTCCAAAAAGGGGGTTGGGCTGGGTGTGGTAGTGCATGCCTACAATCCCAGCACTCAGGAGGCTAAGGCAGGTGGACACTAGTAAGTGGTGGCAAAGATGTAGAGAAAATGAAGCCTGGGCACACTACTGGAGGGAAATGTCAAACAGAGGTTACCCAGCACGGGTGGTTCAATGTGTAATCTCAGAACTGAAGGAACCGGAAACTGAGACAGGAGGATGACTCAAGTTTAAGGTAGTCTGGTCTATATATAGTAAGACTGTTTCAAAATAAATAAATAGATAAAAGGATGGAAGAATGAATACATAAATATAAACAGTTTGGCAGTTCTACTAGGGAAACAGAATGACTGTGAGGAGGGCTTGAAAGAGAGGCGATGCACCTGTGTGCACTGAAGCAGGAGCCTCAGGAGCCGAGAGGCAGGAGACACCCAGACACCTGCCAACCGGTGAACGGAAAATAAACACACAGGACACTCACTAATTCAGTCTTAAAGGAAATCTATACATGCACAAACAGGGATGAGCTTTAGTATATTATGCTAAGTGAAAGAAGGCAGTTAAAATAAGACAACCAAGTGTAGAGTTCCACATCTGTGAGGTTCCTACAAATGGCCGGGGAGAGGGAATGGGAGAAGTTATTTAATGGGTACAAAGTTTCTGTGTGAGATGGAAATGTCCAGAAATGGTTTGCAGAGCCCTGTGTGAACACACTCAAGGTTAACAAATCACACACTTCAAAACTGTTGAACGTGAACTCCACGGCATACCCATGGCCACTAAAGAAAGGTCTGGCTTAGTGTCATGTAGGCACATCAGTGAGTGGTTCAGCAGTTCAACTGGTAAGCAGGAAATGCCAAAACCAACCGTTCTCTCTCTCTCTCTCTCTCTCTCTCTCTCTCTCTCTCTCTCTCTCTCTCTCTCTCTCTCTCTCTCCAGGATTTCGTTGTGTAGCCTTGGCTGTCCTGGAACTCCCTTTATAGATCATAGATCATGCTGGCCTTGAACTCAGATCCACCAGCCTCTGGCTCCCCAGGGATCAGAGGCCCGCACCACCACTTCCCTCCAGCCCTCTGTGGACCAGTGTCTTCCACTCCACCATGGACTAATCAGGATGTAAGCACCCTAGAACCCTGTTTCTGTAAGTTCACTAAAGAGCTCAGGTTTTCAGCTTAACTCTGAATTCAGAAAGTGGCTGTGAACCTAAAATGAATTATTAAATGATTAACTGACAGGTACAGTTTTTTCAGCGAGCACTGGGAATATACACAACTAGCCATGGTGACACAGTATCCAAATAAGCACACTGGCTTCTCTACCGTAGGGCTGGGTTTTTCTTCAGGGCCCAGACAGCGAGCTGCTCCACAGCCGCCACTTGGACTTCACTGTGTGTGGTTCCTGCTTGGGAACACCAAGAGGGCAGACAGATAGGTAACAATGGCCTAAAGAAAATTACAGGTATACAAAGACATTAAAACTCAGGCCTAGGGGCTGGAGAGATGGCTCAGTGGTTGAGAGCATTGCCTGCTCTTCCAAAGGTCCTGAGTTCAATTCCCAGCAACCACGTGGTGGATCACAGCCATCTGTAGGGGGGTCTGGCGTCTTCTTCTGTCCTTCAGGCATACAGACAGAATATTGTATACATAATAAATAAATATTAAAAAAAAAACTCAGGCCTAGCTCTGTTGTTTTAATATAAAAAATTCAAAGTATAGTAAGAATAAGAGAGTCTTTTCTTTGGACAACCTACTAAAATGACTTCCACTTTTATTCTAGTCAGAAGAGGAGACCCAAGGTGGACCAGGGCCGTGGAGAGCACAAGGCTCTGAGTCACACAGGCACACACGCCTTGCTTACTTACCTTCAGCTGGGTTTCCGTGGGGGTAGGTGCCAAGAAAGGGGGCTGCCCAACCAACATCTCAAAAAGAATCACGCCGACACTCCACCAGTCACAGAGCTGTGTGTACCCTGAAAGACAGCATTCCCTTAGTCCCTCAGCGCAGGCTCCCCTCGGCCTGAGCACCCAAGTGGGCTGGCTCAGAGGAGGCACTGTGCTAATAGAAGGAGAGATCTGTGGAAATGCACGCCCTCAGGCAGGGGGCTTAGTGCAGCTACAGTGGGGTCACACAAAAGGGCAAGAGACACGGCCACGGATACTGGGATTTCTTTATTTTTACTCACTGGTCTTCATAAACACAGGATGCTTTTAGAGTAAGGAGACAAGACAGTCATTAAATATTTTTATAACTTGAGTGTGTGCGTGTGTGTGTGGACACACTATGTCATATGTTTGAGGTCAGAGGACACCTTGTGGGAGTCCATTCCTTCTTTCTACCATGGGGTCTCAGGGATGGAACTCAGGCTTGGCAGTGCTTTACCCCCTGTTATGGGGCAGGTGTAGAAAGCAGGACAGCATCCTAGAGAATTACGTAACTTTGTTGAGGATGACACTGAAGATCGGGGTGGTGGGGCTGCCTACAAGGAGGCGGCGGAACAGGTTCAGTTATCTCCCATGCACTCGCACTTCTCAGTCAAGCCAGGTTTGCTAGTAGGCTCTACAGCAGGAACAGCCAGGAGGGGTTTTGGACTCTACCTTCATCTACCTCCTGGCACTGATGGCTGCTATAGAATACAGAACAGTATGCTGGAGTGCGGCACCTCTCCTGGGCACCAGAATTAGCATTTGTAAGCTCTCAGGAGATACCTTTGTGTACAGGGCTGAATGGATCAACAGCCTGTATCAGCACCACACTGAAGGAAAGTCTCATCCTGCGCCCAGTCAGACTAGGTCTAAAGGTACAATGTGAACAGAAAGACTGTGTCTGGATTAGCTGCAAGGTCAAGCTGACAGCCCACTGTCTCAGTGGACCACAAAAGACACACTCAGGGTTCCTCCAGGTCTGAAGCAAACATTGGGTCCAGACTATCTATCCAGGAAACCAATTTCACCAACTAGTAATCTGATGCCCATAAAGGTTTGCATATTATTACCTCCTAGGAGTTTTGGGCCTAACATGGAGAATTCATTTGCGTGGCAGACATGGAGTAATCCAGCCTGGACAAGGGAGAGATTAGTTAGAGCTTGAAAATGGTGGGCTAGGGAGGGTAGTGGCCCTAAGACCCCAACAGTTTCATCCGCTGACTGCATTTATTCATTTATTTTTGTGTCTGCATGTATGTGTGCAGCATGTGTATGCAGTGCCTGTGGAGATCAGAAGAGGGCACTGGATTCCCCTGGGACTACTATTAGCTGCGAGCAACCACAGAGGGGCTGGGAATTGAACCTGTGTCTTCTCAAAGAGCAGTCCATGCTCTTACCAGTGAGTCATCTGTCCAGCCCCTAGCTGGCCCTGAAAGTCAGTTAGTTGGAGAGTCATTTCCTTGGACCTCAGGTGGAAAGCCCACGACCCATACTCCTCAGTTAGAGGGTGAGGGAATACATCAGCTTAATCCTGGTGAAAGCAAAGGCCCCTCCAGATGAGAGGGAAGATGATGGATGGAGCTTTGTTGCTAGGGAAACCATCAAGCTCCCAGGCGTTCCTAAGCACAAAAATACAACAGGAATATTTAAGAGTCCTGGACACCTACTGCTGAAGCTCTTACAAGGCCAGACAGTGAGCTGGGGAGGGAGCAGGCTGGCATACCTTTGCGGAGAAGCACCTCGGGCGCGATGTAGTTTGGTGTCCCAACCAGAGAGTGAGCCAGACACCGCTGGTGCTGCTTCTGAGCTCTCTGCTCCAGGGTCTTCAGTCTGTCTCCACAACGACAGTTGGAAACATCATCCCAGAGGTCACCGGGCTCCATGCTGTCCTGTCTGATGTGGTTCCCTTTACCAGGGGAAAAGGTGTGGTGACAGAAAAGAGCAGAAAAGAATATCACTTCTGAGTCAGCACTGCAGCCAGTCCACAGCTTAGACAGAAAACCTAACTCTGGCCATGTCAGCACTCTCCTCCCACTGACAAACCCAGGCCTGCTGCATGCAGGAAGCCCTCTCTCACTGAACTACTCCAGCAGCTTTGAGATTGATTTTCCAAGGTTTCTTTTAATAGGACAGTGTGGAGGAAAGAACCCTTCAATGGTCAAAATCTATTGCAAGAAAGTCCACTAACAAAGAAAACACCCTTAGATATCATACTGCTCCCTTGGGAAGGAAAGACGCCACTCCAGATCACAGTAAACACACCAACAGGTAATTGTGAAATGAGTAGTTAGCATAAAGGCTATGCAACTGCCTGGTAGGGCTGTCCCCATGTGGGTGCGGGTGGTGCACACAGTAGGCCTGAAGCAGTACCTTTCTGGTAGTACTTGGAATTGTGAGTCCACCTGAATCCGGTGCAGAGGCCAAAATCTGTCAGCTTAATGTGGCCATCCAGGTCGATTAAGATGTTGTCGGGCTTGATGTCCCTGTGGATGAAGCCCATCTTGTGGACACTCTCAATGGCCAGAGTCAGTTCTGCGATGTAGAATCGGGCCAGGTGCTCAGGGAAGACCTCCATCCGGATGAGCAGGCTCATCATGTCCCCACCAGGGATGTAGTCCATCACGAAGTAGAGACTCTCCTTGTCCTGGAAGGAGTAGTACAGCTTCACCACCCACTCGTTGTCCGCCTCAGCCAGGATGTCCCTCTCGGCTTTGACGTGGGCCACCTGGTTCCGGTTCAGGACGTCTTTCTTCCTCAGAGTCTTCATGGCGTACAGGGCGTGAGTGTCCACCTTACAGGCAAGGCACACTTCTCCAAAGGCGCCAATGCCCAGAGTTTTGATTTTCACAAACATGGACTTGTCCATCTTGGCCCTCTTGAGTCTGTTGTAGTTGGACTCCTTCTGGTAGAGGATCTTCCTCATCTGCTCCTGCTCAGCCTCACAGAGTCCAGCCTGCACACGGGAAAACCAGAGAGTGGTGTTAGAAGGACCCACAGCAGCCAAGTGTGGGGCAGGGCCACCCTGGAACAGCGAGGACTCCTCAAAATGACGAGTCTACAGGCAAGACACCAACCAGCCTTGATCTGTGAACCTGAATGTGGACATCCACCTCTGCGTGCAACATCCATCCACACGTATGCAGATATGGAATCAAAGAAAAGTCTTTCTCTACGTGATTTTGGGTTCCTAAAACCCAGGGAAAACCACTACCATGACTATGACTAAGAAAATGTCTGTGGAAAACATCCTGGAGTCCACTGACTATTATCATTCTCTCTCCCTGAACTCACTAGCTACACTTCAGTAGCTTAAAGAAAATGGGAAAACACAAAACAAGCAATGAATCGGGACCAAAAGGAAATGAGAACACAAATTTAAGTTTTAGAATTTGAAATGACTGGTTTGTGCAATGTAAATTTAATATCTCTTTTACTTACTTATTTTTTTGTTTTTTCGAGACAGTTTCTCTGTATAACAGCCTCAGCTGTTCTGGAACTAGCTCTGTAGACCAGGTTGGTCTCGAACTCACAGAGATCCGCCTGCCTCTGCCTCCCAAGTGCTGGGATTAAAGGTCTGCACCACTGCTGCCAGGCATTTACTATCACATTTAAATTTAAAATAATGTCATAAAATTCAGAGGTCCCCAGTTCAGTCCCCAGCACCCACGTGGCGGCTCACCATGTAATTCTAGTCTATAATTTTAGTTCCAGGGGATCAAAAGTCCTCTTCTGACCTTCAGAGGCACAAGCATGGTATAGAGATATATATGCAAGCAAAACACTCACATGAAAAGAAAATCTAAAACAATACAACACACATACACAAACACACACACTATCTCCTGGGCATCTGAAGCTGCAGCAGGACTGGGAGACCCAGTTCTATGGGGGTTACAGGTGGACATGTGGTCTCAAAGAAACAAGCCCGAAAACACTATGATCCAAATTAGAAAAATGGACCAGCAATATTGTATTTCTCTCTCTCTAAAATATCTTTTTTTTTTTTTTTTTGGTTTTTTGAGACAGGGTTTCTCTGTGGCTTTGGAGCCTGTCCTCGAACTCACAGAGATCCGCCTGCCTCTGCTGTGCTGGGATTAAAGGCGTGCGCCACCATCGCCTGGCCCTCTCTAAAATATCTTAGAAAACTTTTTAAACATTCTTTTTAAATGTTAAGAGCAGGTAATCTTTGATGTGCTTTCTTCAAAAGTAAGGAAGGACACACATTAATCCATTTGCTGACTGACTTGCAGCCAGGGTCCTCAGAAGGGAGGCCACACACTGTGGCTTCTCCAAGTGTCTGGCTCATGCGGGGGTCTATGAGAGGGACGTGTGATGATGGTGCATAGCTGCTACAGTGGACAGGGGAGCTTGGAACAGAGTAAGGAGGAAGAGGGAAATTACTTTGGCCATTTCCTGCTCCAGCTGCAGCCTCCGGCTGACCTTCTGCTGGTAGGTTTTGATGACATTCTCTACATGTTGTTCCATGAAGAACTTGAAGGCACAGGGGGAATAGCTTTTGATGCGGGACTCTCTCTTCTCTTCCTCCTTGCTATTCTTGCGGACGGGCACCGGGGAGGTCTGGATCTGTTTTTTGTCCCTGCTAGCTTTGTCTCCCTTGGTACCCTTGTGGCTCTTGTCGCTCCTGTCCTGCTCGGCGCCCCCACGCAGACTCTGCTCGACACCTGCACATAGGCTATCCACATCCAGGTTGTATTGCTCGGCCTTGCTGGGTAGCAGCAGGTGCTTGGGGTAAGGTGGCGGTGGGCACCTGCGCTCAGAGCCACCATAGTCCACGTCCAGTGGGTGCTGGCCTGTGCTGCCTTCCTTGGTCTCCAGGCTCTCCGTGGAAGGTGCTGAGGGTGCAGGCACCCAGGCAGGGTGAGAGGGACCCACGGCTGTCTGGGGCTCGGGTCGCAGTACACGCACACTCTTTACAGGGTGCAGGATGTGCGCAGCCGTCACTGCGGTGACCGTGTTGGGGGCGGGCAGCGAGGGCTCGGGCTGTGGGCTGCTGAAGGAGTTGGTCCTGCTGGGCCCTGTCCGAAAGGCCACGTGCTGCCGGGCGGCCTCTAGACCCTGCTTCTGCAGCGAGTCACGGCGAGTCAGTGGGGCTGCAGACCAGGGTCCTGGGGAGCCCAGCTCATACAGGTCGGCATTGAGGCTGTTCCTGGATGGCGTCAGAACTGCCTGCGTGGGGCTATCGCCAGCGAAGGTGGGGCCCCGCGCACCCAACACATGCAGTGGGTGGGCCCCGGGAGCCACAGTGGCCGGCTTGTGGTGCGCAGTGGTATACAGCCCAGAGTGGGCAGGGAAGGCGAGGCTGGCAGGAGGGCCACCCTGGGCTTTGGCCAGGCCGGAATAGGCATCTGGTGGTGTCTTGCTCTGGAAGGAGGGGCTGCGCTGCACCCCGTATCCCGGCTGCTCCGCTACCAGATGAGTGCGACCATAGTGTGCGCCCGGGAAGTGTGCTCCAGCCTCCGCCGCTGCGCTGTAGCCTTTGGGAGGGTGCTGGTGACCAGGGGTGCTGTGCAGGCTGACCCCCGGGAAGAGGAAGTCTAAATATTGCCGTGGCATCTCCTCCAGCACAGCAGGGCCCTCATAGTTTGCACCTCCCAGCTGGTGGTAGGATGGGAATGCTTCCCCTGTGCCCTCGAAACTGGGCCTCCGTGTCACCGGGGTGGGCACCATGCCCTTTCCTGCAGAGGAAAGAATGAAAAGTCAGTTTAAAAGCACATAGGGCCAGTGGGCTGCTACTCACAGGTTGGTCCTCACACTAGCCCCAGCTTTGGGCAAATGTGTAAGGTCTACTGAGAGTCGCAGCAGAAACTGCTCTCTCTAAGGCGGCAGGCAAGGTAGGGGGGAGATGGATGATGGCGTTGAAGGCCAAAGAGCATTTGCAAAGTCATGGGTCAGAGGGGGTCCCCTGTCTTAGAGGGCACAGCACCCAAGGCCAGGCTCCAGCCATGCTAGGGAGCTACCTGGGCAGTCAACTCTGTTTTCTCCATGACGTGCAGTTCTTTGGGGAAGCCAAGTTTACTCACTGTCATGGTTTCAAAAGGGCAGAACTATACCCACTGTCCAAATAATCATCTTCCTTTCGCCTATTTCCCAAATTAAAGATTTGCTGGGTTTCTGTCTTCATTAAGGATAAACAAGGTAATATATACCCAACATAACTAAGAGCAAAACCATGAAGAGGAGATGGAGAGACAGGAAGAGTGCAGGGGACCCAAGTTTGGTTCCCAGCACCCGTATCAGGTAGCTTCCAACTGCCTGTAATTCCAGCCTTTGAGAATTCTGTCCTGGCACAATACTGCAGTCAAGTGCGCACGCGCACATACACACACACACCATTAAAAATAAAAATCTTTTTTTTTTTTAAATATTTATTTATTTATTATGTATACAATATTCTGTCTGTGTGTATGCCTGAAGACCAGAAGAGGGCGCCAGACCTCTTTACAGATGGTTGTGAGCCACCATGTGGTTGCTGGGAATTGAACTCAGGACCTTTGGAAGAGCAGGCTATGCTCCTAACCTCTGAGCCATCTCTCCAGCCCAAAAAAAAAAAAAAAATCTTTTAAAAACTCTTTAAAAACAACCCACAAAGTGTCCCCCTCTCTACAAACACCAGGCATGCGGATGGCTGCTGCTGCTTCCTTACTCCTGGCTTATCTGTTTTGAAAATCTTTCCTCATTTAAAGTGGATGCCTGGACAAGACAGAGGCCCCTTTCACTTTCCTACATGGACTCCTCTGCTCTGCCCCACCTGGCAGAGGACCCTGACGCCCAAAGGTTGTGTCTTAACCACTCGCAGCACCGCTCTCTGGGGCAGACCCCAGAATGCCAAGACCCAAGAAAGAAGGCCAGTCAGAGCTGGTGGGTACAATTCCTTTTCTCAAGAAACCAGAACTGTATATCCCCTAACAACACAAACACTTCGAAATCCCGAGATGTCCTCATGTAGGCTGTTCCTGAGGTCTTTACCGAGCAGGGATTACACACATCCTTTATCACACTCCAGGAACCACAGCCCATCCACTCCACCTCTGGAGAGGAGCATCCGGGCAGTAGGGGAAGCAGAGCCAGCAGCCCCTGTCCTTCCGGAGCTGACACACTGCTCACAGCTGCAGCCCTGAGAGCTGCCTGCTACCGGAGGTGAGAAAAGTGTGCTTGGAGTTGGAAAAGCCTTCCTTTTTGAAGACCCCCCCCAGGCCCAATAAAAGGTTTTAAAAACTTGAACCACCTCCCGCCCCCACTTAAAGATTGGAAAAATTCAACAGAAACATAAACCTTCTAGATAGTAACATAGGTGGCCATGAAGAGGAGTCAGAGGGTCAGGTGAGGTTAAATACCAGGACTGACCCTCAACCCCAGATCAACTTTCAGGGACAGGTCTGACTCCCTGTGTAGGCTCCACTCTCAGACCACAATAATTTCCAATTCACAGTCACCCTCACCTGGGGAGGTCTGCTTGATGACCCGGACAATCTGCTCATTCCTGGGGTCCAGGTAGCCCATCTTACTGATGTACTCCAAGGCTGCTTCAATACTCCTACTGCCTGTTTGCTTGAGAGCTCTGCCAGCCATCTCCTAGGAAGAAAGAAAGCAAGGGATATCACCAATGTCACTGTCATCACCGCCACCACCAAGCCCTGGTGACTCCTCTCTGTGGCTGCTGGGGCCCTGCCACATGCTGCAGAAGACCTGGAGCACACGTGGTGGTTGCAACCATCTGTCCACACCACACCATGTACCATGAAGAGCTTGGATCAAGCACGTGCAGGGCCCCTGATGGTGCCTAGAATGAAGTACACTGGCAGTAGGAAACTGGCCTTGATCCCAGCTGCTCAGCTCTATGCTGACTCTGGAATCAGCGGAAATGCACTGGGTGGGAACAGGGAGAAACTGCTGAAGCCATTTACGAGATGCTTACTGAAGGGCTCCTGCTGACAATGTCCTCTGCCATCTATAGCAGTAAGAAGCATAGCAGTCTCTGTGAAGCCCCTAGAGCTTTGTCTGCACAGGACATGTCCCTTATGCCTTTAATCCCAGAGACAGAACTCTGAGTTCAAGGCCAGCCTGGTTTATAGAGCAAGTTCCAGGACATACACAGTCTCAAGACAAAGCTGGGGCAACTGTGGGGTGCAGTCTTCAGGCACTTTGGGGTAGAGGAAAAGGAAGCAGAAGGGGGCAGAGCTAGGGCAGCTAAGCCCCTGAGTCTTTGGGGGCTGTGATAGGGTACCAAGCACCATAAGAAGAAAATGTGGGAAGAAGGCACTGAAAAGGGGGCAGGATGGCAGCAGGGGACACACAGAGGTGTTCAGCAGGAGGCAGGCTTGCTGTGGAGAAGAGAAATATTGGGGGGGGGCACTGTTCTTGCCGTTCCTGGCACCTGAAAATTTATTCCAGTCTGCTTCCGGGGAGAACTCAGGTATGGTGGTGACTAGGTAGGCACGTCTCTATAAGTCTGAAGCTAGCCTGCTCCACAATGCAAGTTCCAGGACAGCCAGAATTACACGAGAAAACCTGTCTTAGGGCAGAAACCTGTGAGTAATCTGGCAGGGTCTAAATCGCCACAACACACAGCTCCATCCACCCACTTCACACGGTGCCTAGAACAAACCAAGCACTTAATACTAACCATGTGGTCATCAACACTAAATCCTGTTCTCTGTTCTTGGCTGTGTGACAGCTGAGTGGTAAAACAAAAGGCGGGGGGGGGGGGGGGGGGGGGGGGGGGGGGGGGGGGGGGGGGGGGGCTGGACTCACTGTAAAGTCACTGGCCAGATCTGGGATTCTACAAGACTGCAGGGATGAGCCTAGATGGAGGTCCGTGGTGCCACTACAGAGAGGAGGGGCGGAAGCGAGAGCTCAAGAAGCAGGCTGGCCAGTGTTCACCATCTGCAGTTGCAGGGCTCAGACATGAAGCACTATCCGGCTCACCTGGAGCTGGTGGTGACATCTCAGCTTCCCGACCTCATGGCTAAGCTATGTGATGAGGTCATGTCTACACAACTCTCAGGACTCAGAGGAAGGCTGCCCTAAGACTGCATCTCAGCACACCACCTGAAGTCTTTTGTTCCCACCAAAAATGTGCCAAGTGGAGCTGCCCCTAACCACAGGCCTTTGGCAATAAGGGATCAGCTGCTTTATGGGTCTCTTGCAGGGTGGGCTATCGGCATAAGTTCCTTACTGTCAGGACCTGCCAACAGCAGGAGACAGAGCTTGTCACCTGTATATGAGGTCAAGCTCCGGGAGTTTACTGTGCTTCGGATCTAGGGACCTGGCCAGGAGTCTAGTGAAACCTCAGGGCAAGACTTGGAATGGCAGGCATGTTTGAAATCAGGAACCCAAGTGACATCCATGAACCAAGTTTATAAATAAAACCTTCACTTCTGCCCTTTGCATTGTCTGTCCATCTCCACACGGTTAGCAAACCCATACTTTCTACACACCAACTCTCAAATGTGCTCCTGCACATATTCTAAACGACTGTGGCTCTTGCTTCATTTTGTGGTGCTGGGGATGGGACCCAGGGCCTCACATAGGCCGGCAATGTTCCACCGCTGAGCTCCACCCCCAGTCCCCCACACTTGTGTGTTAAGAGCTAAAAGAAGCTCAGAATCTAAGTCCACCATGAGCGTAGGTCTCAGCAAGCAAGGACAATACATATTAAACTATGATGGGGTGCGGCAGGGGGTCTCCAGAGGACCCAGTGTGGCTGAACTCCAGCAGAGGAACCTGGCCTCTTCTCCTTTCTCAGAGCACTAAGCCAGTGTTCTGACCACTCCAAAAAGCCGTGCTGAGCTCAGAGACAGAGGCAAGCTACTCAGTACGTATGTGCACACATGCGCACACAAGCACACACTTGCGCATAGCTGCGCAGCCTTCACAAATCTACCTACTCTGACTCTGAGCACGTGTTTCCTCATCTGGGTAGCGGAGGTACCTAGGGCTGCACTAGGGATGGAAGGAGAAGATCTCCACGTCAGCTGCAATACTTCCCTTAAGTGTCTCTGGTAGAAGATATAAAGATGATATTTGTCCATTTTAAGAGCACCTGGGCCGGGCTATGGTGGCCTTTAATCCCAGCACTCGGGAGGCAGAGGCAGGCAGATCTCTGTGAGTTCGAGACCAGCCTGGTCTACAGAGCTAGTTCTACAATAGGCTCCAAAGCCACAGAGAAACCCTGTCTCGAAAAAAACCAAAAAAAAAAGAAAAAAAAAAGAAAAAAAAAGAGCACCTGGGATCAAAGACCTCTAATACTTCTTATTTTATTCTTTTAACCACAATTATCTAAAACAATGTGCTGAGCTCCTTTCACCAGCCTTGAATACCTACCTCTGGCTTTATCTAGATTACAAGCCCAGGTTAGGCTCATGGAAATGGCCAGGTCTTCCCTCTTGGTCCATATGGGGTCGCCAACAGCATGTACAGAGAATGTCCACCATAGCCCCGCCCACCCCACCACCATGATTAGTGCCTGGACATTGCTCCCTACAGAGACTGCACACTGAGAGCAGCTAAACCCGCTTCCTTGGACCAGCCGTACACTGTAAACCCCGCCTCCTTGTTTATCTAGCTGTGTAACCACATCTGCTCAGCTGTATGCAGCAACTCTGCCTCCATTCAACCATATAATAGACACACCACGGTTATCTCCACCTGAGAGTCCGACCCCCCACGCCAGCTTGTCTGTTTTTCTTCATTCTCTTGCCCCGCAGCCCAGTCGGGTCAAGTCCCTGGCTGCTGTACTCCATTCCTAGGCACCAGGCTCAGCTGCCCTCTTGATGCCCTGCCAGAGTCGCTCAAGGCTGGCCTCTCATGTGAGGGGATCTGCCCAGCTTCTCTTCTGCGGCAGCTGCATCGTCACTCACTGTCCTCTCTGTCCAAGCTAGGAAGCCTGCCCTGTCTGCCTGGCTACCCACATGACAAGAACCAACCAGCTGGGAGGCCCCCCCCCCCCGACATACTGGAAATGCCAGTGACTTCACTCTCTGTGGCCTGGGGGCTGCTGGGGGAGCGAATCTGTTGTTACAGGTTCACCCAGCGCCCAGGCAGGCAGAGGCTGGACTTCCAGCTGCTGTACAGCGGAATGGTTTCACTAGCATCCCTAGTGACTGCAAGTTATTTCAATTCAGTGACAATTTATTATGTATGGAGGAAAGAATTTCCTACGCAGATCCTCTCCCACCCCTTCCTGGTGAGGAAGCCGTATCCCATGCTTTAACACTCCAACAATGAGGTTTGGCTGGGACTGGAAATGAAGTGCTCTGGCCTTGCTAGTCTTCCAGCGCCCGCATCGGTCTGCAGCTGCCTGTTTCTGAGCCTCTCACAGAACTTGTGATTTTCGTCCACGGTTGGGAGAGTGGCTGGGTCCACAGACCATGGTGACTGTTACTTATTTCAAAGTCTGAAGGATTCCATTTCTTGGAGAACAAGAGCGCAAGGGAAGAATGAGTGGCTGCCCCGGCCCAGCTGGGTGGAATGGAGGGTGCCAGAGAGGCTTAAGCAGTGGTCGAGGCCTTCGGCTCCACCCACTGTCCTTCTCAGGCTGACTGCCTTTCTCTAAGTGGCTTCCAGGAACCTTCTGGAAGCACAGTGGAACACAGTGTTTCAGAATATCCCACTGACATTTGTCAGCCCTAACCAGAAACATGGCCCAGGGGGGACCCATGTGAGACTATTTCCACTGCCTTTGTACTTTCTGGAGAGAGCCTGGAGGGCTTAGCATGGGCCCTGAAAACATGCTCAAGCAAAGCCAGAAACAGGGAAGAAAATGGAAGCAGTCTGAGGGTTTCAATGGGTGGGCACGAAAGGGAGCTACGGCTTCACACGTGTGTGGTGCGGCCCAGCACATGTAGCGCGTTGGTGCAGACAGCAGCTTCCAAGTCTGCTGGGGAAGCTGCAGCTTGCTCATTGTACCATTCTCTTTAGCCCTGGGGCTGTATGCTAACCACGGCTGAGGAAAATATATTTTCAAAGGTATCTTACATGTGGGGAATGAGAAAGAAATTTGTTCTAAATCTAAACTAGCAAGAAAAATGGTCAGCTTTGCCAGTAGCATCTTCTATCTCGTCAGCACCAAAATAAGATTAGTAATTATTCAAGAAAAAAAAAGACTGGTATAGATTCACAGCCATGGTTCTGAAGCTGTAGAAATCGTAAAACCACTGGCAAGCAAAAATAAAAAAATAAATAAGAATAAAAAATTTGGAGCTAGAGAAATGGCTCAGTGCTTAAGAGCCCTTGTTGCTCTTGCAGAGGACCCAGCGCCCTCATGATGGCTCACAACCATTAGTAACTCCAGTTCCAGGGGACCCACGCCCTTTTTGATACCACATGTGGTATACAGACATACATGCAGGCAAAACATGCATGCACATAAAATAAATCTGTAAAAAAAATGAATAAAAGATTATCATGCTAGTAAGCTGTCTCAGGAGGAGAAGGCGTAGGCCATCGAGACTGACTCCCTGAGTTAGCAGGAGAAACTGAGCTTCTGCAGGCTGTTTCCACACATGTACATCCCTGCCAAGCAATACACCAGATAAATGTAATTAATTTAAAAATTGATACTTTTCTTCTCA